TAACAGATAGCAGCTGCGTTGGTAGTGACTGTAAGTCATATCCGACGAATAGCTTACCTTTATTCCTGCAGTGCTCTCTTGACTTCTCAAAACTACGTTTCTCCGCCACGGACTCAAAGCTGTAACAACCATGTCCAAATTTCACCCATGTGGAGGGACACGCCATCACATTCGCAGTTAACGGTTTATTGCCTGCGAGGGACAGCAGGAGAAGGCGGGAAATGGGTATTTTCACACATTCCGCTGAGAACAACAGAAACCAAAAGCTGAATAGATGCAATGTCGGGTGCACGGATTTTCACTGAAGTAGCACCGACTTGGCTTGGAGGGACTTTGGGGAACATGGCACAGGGCTCCTGGCAGCAGAGTTTCACAGTCAGCTCGCCGCCAGCCTCCATTCACGTCCATGTACACGCACTCGCCGGTCTCAAAGTCGTCATCGTCGTCGGCTGCGTCCCAGTGCGTGTACACTGTGTCGCTGCCATCCGACCACTGATAATTGATGCCGCTCTGTAAGCAAGCAAAGTCACAAAGTGTCAGTCATGACTTAACTTTAAATAAGAAGCAACCAAAACGTTCCTGGAATCAGTGCTGACGCTCGCGTGGATAAACCGTCATTAGCGCTGGGTTTCTACCAGTGTGTCAGGTGTATTTCTTCAGACCAACACCCATTTTATTCTATATTTTACTGCATAAAACCATCTGTTATGTTATATATTTAAAAATCAAAAAACTTTATTTAAGGAGATATATGTTTCTGAGGGAGAATCTAGCTACTGGTCAATGTATTACTGACTAAAATTAGCTAAAATTGAATTCAATTCACTTACACAACACCAAATCACAACAACAGTCGCTTGAAGGTGCTTTATACTGTAAGGCAGACCCTACAATAAAAATGAGTAGCTGGCTTATCTTTAACATGATTAATAAAATACATATAATAGAGGAAATCAGCTCCTCACACACACTGTGTTCATTTGTCTCGACGCTCAAGATATTTTACAGTGGCTAGGAAGACTGACGGGAAAACACGTGCCCCTGAGATCTCTACATGGGCAACACGCCAACAGAAGTCTCACTAAGGAATAAGACAGTGATATCAACTAGAGTGACACCCTCTAGTATCAAATGCTTTTGCTTCAACTCCGATACATCCCACACACCCAGAAACGTCTAAATATCACTTCCCTTCGTCAGCAGAAGTCCACAGCCCCACCTATCAGGAGTCACAAATCAGACCCCATGACACTGAAACAGGTCCCTTTAATCTGATTGTTCAGACTGTTAGCATTGTGTGCCAACTTCCTACTTTCTATCTCAACTGTTTGACAGCAGTACACTATATATATATACCA